GGGAGGGGGGGTCGCCGGCCAGCTTGCCGGAGGGGGGGATCTACGGAGGGGGGTGGCGGGTGACCTCGCCGGAGTGGGGGCTCGCGGCCATGATTCCGACACGGTTGTCGTTTTTTTTAATGATTTTTGTGTTAACATATAAAATTTGGTAAAATGATGCTTATAGAGGGAACAAATTAATGTGTTGCATTTGTGGCAAATTTACTTGTTGAATGTAATTTGTGATCTTTTTTTTAGGTCTGTACTAGAACTGTGCGAAATAACATATTTGGGGCACAAATTTGCATAAATGTGGCATCAGAGTTGATACTTGTTGTAATTCGTTCTGCACATTTAATATGCTTCATTTTATTTTTCGTGGAATCTGATGTGGTCCAAATTTTAATAGGTTGTTTCGACGTGGACCAAAGATTGCTATTTATCAGAGGCGATAGTCGGTTTGTTTCATTTTGTCGAGTTTATTTGTTGCTCTATTAAACAAAATGGTAAGTAAAATGACTAATGTCATTTTCAGTCCCTAATATATGTTCATATTTTTAAATATATTTGTCTAACCTTCCTACTTGTCAGTTTAAACGTGGAGGTTTCCTGCGTGGTTCGGGTTCGCAAAGAAGATTAGCCCCTTCCGCTGGCTCGTCCTCATCCCCGACCTTGTCCTCTTCCCCTGCCCTTTTATGTAACCCTCAACCACAACTTGTTCATGGACAACACGAACACATTGGCCCATCCTTCGACCCTCAACAACATATTAGGGTAGAACCTCGGGACATGCGAACTGAATTTACTTCAGTTCCATCTCCGATTCGATCTCCTTCGGTTCCACTTTCTTCTTCAGTGCAACACTCGAATGATGAAGAAGATACCCGATTCATTATATGCCCATGTGGAGATTCGTAAGTACTTCATTTTTTTACGTATATACAAATTATCGATGTAAATAAAATTGTTTATGTTGCGAATTATCCGTATGCTTCATTTTCTCATTGTCCGTATTGTTATAACATGTTTTCAGATTCACGGATTCTACGCATGTTGTGAGGGAACTGAATAAAATAGTCAATAACTGTTGGATGGGCCAGTTTATTACTTTTAGCAGCGCTCCCGCAGAAGTAAAGACTTTGTGGTGGAATGAGTTTAAGGTTAGTGTTGTCTTTCTTCACAAACTAAGTTCGGTGTAGCATACTGATGGTCAATAATGAATTTTGTCACGAATTGTCTGGTACATTGTAATGGATATGTGACATGTGACTCTAGTGGATAATTTTCAGTTGTTTTTCTATTGATTGTAGCGTAAGTTCACGTGGGATGAAATGGAAGAGGATGAGGTTAAAAGAATTTTCAAGAAGAAAATCGGTGATCACATGCAATATGTGATAAATAGAGCGAAGAGAAGAAACGAAAAGCCGACCTTTTTTACAATTGACAATTGGACGGAAATTACAAGAATTTGGGAAACTGAGAAGTATAAGCTAAGGTGTGAACAGAACAAGAAGAATCGAGCTTCTAGTTCCAGTGACGGGTCTGCGTCTGCCACATATGCTGGGGGCTCTATCAGCATCGGGGAGCATAAAAGAAGAATGGTAAGTCTGTTTATACATGTCAGTGCATTTAATGTAATGATTAGTCATTTATGTTTATATTTTGTAGGCAGATGAATTGGGGACGAAACCCACTTTTATAGCTACATTTGAACGCACATTCCAAAAAAAAGATAAGACATGGACTGGCGCTCGAGCAAAAGCTATTAAGGTATGTAAGGTTATAATTCGGACTTAAAGGAAACTAGAATGAAAATCATGAATGTTTTTAATATTTATGGTAATATATATGAATTTATTATATTTCCATCTATAATGTTAATATAGGAAAAATATGATGAACTTTTAATGAGTACTGCTAGTGGTGATGGTGGTGATGGTGGTGGTGATGGTGATGATGGTTGTGCCGTGTTTGAGCCATCGGTTGACAGTATGGCATTATGGTTGGAGGCAGCGGGTGGGATGAAAGGAGGAAAAATATTTGGGATGGGATCCTTGTCAAGGATGTACAAATCGAAGGTTGGTGCAACTTCATCCTCCAATGCGGCTGTTTCAAGGAGGACACGACATGAGGAGCATATAACCCAAGAATTGAGCCAACTGAAGCAGTTGCTTGTACAGAAGGACGAAGAAATGAAGTATTTACTTGGATAGAATGACGAACAAATAAGGGTGATGCAACAACAAATGCAAATTGTCATGCGACATCTCGACATCGATCGCAATGAGGTTCCTCCTCTACCTCATATTAATCCAATTGATGATGGGCATAATGTTGAGTCACAAAATGATGCGGCGAATGGTGATGGTGATGATGATGATGCTGATAATTTTATTGTTAGTCCTTTCTAGTTCATTCTCGAGTACCAACGCTATCAATATTTTATGGTTGTCCCGCGTTCTTTCAATGTTTTGAATGTATTACCTGATGTTCATTAGTGCTTAGCTGCCTCTTCGTATTATGAGATTAAAAATCGAATATCATCATATGAGACTTTGCAACTTATGCATTGTAGAAATTAATATTGCTTTCTTACCAAAAAAAATTAATATTGATAATAATTAGATTTAAAATCGAAATTGTTGCTAAATAAAATTTGTCGCAAACTTAGCGACGAATTTTGTCACGAATAGCTTTCGTTGCAAATTACCAACGAAAATTGAATTTTTTTGATGGAAAAAAATCGAATTTCCAACGATTTTTGCAACGAATAATTAGCGTCAAATTTTGCAACGTATTTTCCCACAAATATTGTTTTCGTTGGAAATTACTAACGAAAATTGTAATTTTTTGGATGAAAATTTCGCGGATTTCCCACGATTTTTTGCAACGAATAAGGATGAATTTATATACTATTTTTCCAACGAATTAAGTTTTCGTCGGAAATTACCAACGAGACTTGCTATTTTTTGTCGGAAAAATTTGCGATTTCCAACGAAAAATTTTTGTCGGAAAAATCCGACATTTCCAACGAATTTTTTTTTTCGTCGGAAATTAACAACGAAAATTGTAATTTATTGTGGGAAATATTTGGGATTTCCAACGAATTTTTTTTTTGTCGGAAATTACCAACGAAAATTGTTTGTCGGAAAAATTAAAAATTCGCGATTTCCAACGAATTTTTTTTTCGTTGGAAATTAACACGAAAATTGTTTGTGGGAAAAATTCCCAATTTCCAATGAATTTTTCTTTTGTCGGAAATTACCAACGAAAATTGTTTGTCGGAAAAGTTCGCGATTTCCAACGAATTTTTTTTTCGTTGGAAATTCAAAACGAAAATTGTAATTTCGTGTGGGAAATATTCGGAATTTCCAACTAATTTTTTTTTCGTTGGAAACTACCAATGAAGATTGTTTGTCGGAAAAATTTGGGATTTCCAACGAATTTTTTTTTCGGTGGAAATTAAAAACGAAAATTGAATTTCTTGTCGGAAATATGAGGGATGTCCAACGAATTTTTTTTTCGTCGGAAATTACCAACGAAAATTGTTTGTCGGAAAAATTCGTGATTTCCAACGAATTTTCTTTTTCGTTGGAAATTATCAACGAAAATTGTTTGTCGGAAAAATTCGCGATTTTCAACGAATTTTTTTTCGTTGGAAATTAAAAACGAAAATTGTAATTTCTTATCGGAAATATTCGGGATTTCCAACGAATTTTTTTTTCGTCGGAAATTACCAATGAAAATTGTTTGTCGGAAAAATGCGGGATTTCCAACGAATTTTTTTTTTCGTTGGAAATTAAAAACGAAAATTGTAATTTCTTGTCGGAAATATTCGTGATTTCCAACGAATTTTTTTGTCGTTGGAAATTAAAAACGAAAATTGTAATTTCTTGTTGGAAATATGAGGGATTTCCAACGAATTTTTTTTTGTCGGAAATTACCAACGAAAATTTTTTGTCGGAAAAATTGGGGATTTCCAACGAATTTTTTTTTCGTGGGAAATTAACAACGAAAATTGTTTGTCGGATATATTCGGGATTTCCAACGAATTTTTTTTTTCGTTGGAAATTAAAAACGAAAATTGTAATTTCTTGTCAGAAATATGAGGGATTTCCGACGAATTTTTTTTCGTCGGAAATTACCAACGAAAATATTTTGTCGAAAAAATTGGGGATTTCCAACGAATTTTTTTTTCGTTGGAATTTAAAAACGAAAATTGTAATTTCTTGTCAGAAATATGAGGGATTTCCAACGAATTTTTTTTTCATCGGAAATTACCAACAAAAATTTTTTGTCGGAACAATTGGGGATTTCCAACGAATTTTTTTTTCGTCGGAAATTGCCAACGAAAATTGTTTGTCGGGAAAATGCGGGATTTCCAACGAATTTTTTTTTTTCGTTGGAAATTATCACCGAAACTTGTTTGTCGGAAAAATTCGCGATTTCCAACGAATTTTTTTTTCGTTGGAAATTAAAAAGGTAAATTGTTTGTCGGAAAAATTCGGGATTTCCAACGAACTTGTTTTTCGTCGGAAATTACCAACAAGAATTGTATTTTTTTGTCGGAAAATTTCGCGGATTTCCGACGATTTTTGCAATGAATATTTTGCAACGAATTTTTCCAACGATTTTTAGCGACAAATTTTGCCACGAATTAATTTTCGTCGGAAATTATCAACGAAAATTCCAATTTTTTTTCGTCGCTAATTTCGTTGGAAATTACCAACAAATTTTGCCACGTTTTTCCAACGAATTATTTCCAACGAATTTTCCAACGAACTTTCCAACGAATTTTTCCCACGAATTTTTCCAACGAAAAAATTTCGTTGCAAATTACCAACGAAAATTTAAATTTTTTGTCGGAAAAATTTGCGACGACTAATTACCAACGAATTTTTTTTCATCACAAATTTCGTTGGAAATTCGTTTTCCAACGAATTTTGCCGAATTTTTCGTTGGAAATTTCGTTGGAAAACTCTTGTTTTTTTGTAGTGTATTCCAGTAAATTGATCGATGCTTCAACAATGCTATCGACCGGGAGACATAAAGATTTGAATATGAGATCTGCGCTTAGTAAAAGTATTAGTCTATGGAAATTTCTAGTAAATTGATAAATAAAACAGTGACTATTCATGTTACCTACATTCCGTAACGTAGGCTCCCTTCTGAGGCGATCACGAGCAATGTCAAAAGGAGTCAAACATTTGCGGTTGATATGGCCGGGAATAATTCTTTCATCCATCACAAGAGGAATCAAAGCGGCGGGTTGTGAATACATCGCTGCCAAGTGTGAAGGTGTATTTCCAGCATTATCTGCATCATTTATCGCCATCCCCAATTTTTTATGATTGAGCACATATCTCACTGCTGAAGTTCTCCCATATTTTGCTGCGACATGAAGAACGGTTGGCCCTTGCCCATTTAGCAAACATGATACCGGAAGTAGCTTCTCGATTTGTTCAACATAACCCATCTTGCTCGCAATATGAATGGGAAGATCCCCGTTCCTATCCCGTTGTTGGACCAAATATACAGTTTCTAATCCTAAGTATTTGAATACTTGGGCCGCATTCATGTAAGCTGCTAAATGCAATATATTACCGCCTCTGGAGTTAGTCATCTCAAATAGCTTCATGTTCTTTTCGAGTATCAGGTCGACTAAATCTGGGATCAGGAGCTCCAAATTAGTGATAAGGATATCTTCGACGTAACCTTAAAACCTACTAGGATTGACAGTCGCAGATGTTGGATAAACATTGCAATGCTGAAACTAGTAGTGATAATTATCATTGAATAGGAAAGCCTTGATCTTGCTCAATTTATGGCTTTTCTCCGTTTTTATTTTCATCGCATTAGAATAGGTTGATCTACACAGTATTGATGACATGACATATGCCACATCATTTAGTAAGGTATCTGAGTAAAACTTTAATACATGTAGCATTACTCCCTCATTTATATACATACATACATGACTTGTGAGAATTTTTTATTTATAAGGCTCCGTTCATTTCGCTAAAAATTTGATGTTTCTTAAACAAAATTTCAAGTGGCCATTTTCTAGGAAAATGACAATATTTCCAGTGTTCGACTGAAACCTGCAAATAAATTAGAAAATGTTTTCCGTCGTATGGTTTAATTATTTCCTTTTTCTTTTCTTTATTTTCCGGTGCCCGGCTAAGGGCGACCAGCTAAGGAAGAAGAAAAAATAAAAATAAAAAAGGGAAAAAATAAATATAATAAATATAAATATAAATATAATTAAAACTCGATTTCTTAAAAAAATAAATAAAATAAATAAAAGAAAAAATAAGAATAAAAGGAAAAGGTGTTTGGTGAAAGAAAGTGCTTGAACTAGAGCTGAAAGAAAGAGGATGGAAAAGCAGAAAATAATTGCCCCACTTTTGAATGTGTTTTTTCCATTGACGGAAAATGTTTTCCTTGACTAATTTATTTTCTGTGAACCGAACGCCGGAAAATCCAAAAAATGTTTAGAGTTGTTTTCCGTGAAAAGAACGGAGCCTAAAATTATCCTTGTATTACACCTACAACTACCCACTTACCGCTATCTTTATACATAGCCATAGTAAACACGTCTTTATTGGAGAATTAGGATACATTTATTCAAATGCTAAAAGTCCTATATAGTTTGGGGCGTATTTGGTGATTTATAATTGGGAAATCTAATATCCGAATCTAATATGTATTGATTACGACATGCTCTTGCTTCCCTGATATGTCTTAGGCTATTTAATTAGTAAGTATGCATATTTGAACTCTAGGATTTCGACCAAAAAAAAAACTATAGGATTTGAGATGGTTTTAAGATTAACCTGATAGGTATATTTAAAACCCAAATATGATAAATCATTTACCAAATTAAATTTACTCTATTACAAAACTAAAGATATAATTTTGTAAAGGGTGAGGCTATTTCCATCCTCATTTTGGATGGAGAGCATGGGTCTAAGGTAAAACCGGGAACCAGACCAAACTAGCCATAAGAATCGGTCCGGTTCCAAGTTCCCACAGTTACCGGTTCTTAAAAAGGCGGAATTTGTATTGTGCAATTTGGTTCCTGGTTCTTGGGTAAGAATCGAACCGAGAACAGATGAATCGAATCAGGAACCAATGAACCGGAGATTATATATTGTAAGTGATGTATACATCTTTTCATATTGTAATTCGTTTGTATATTTAATGGGTAAATGTTTTATTTAATCTCTTCTTCTTTTTTAGATATGGACTGTCTTACTGGGGAGATTATCATTGGTCAATAGAGTTTACGAATTGAAGTTGAATGAATATATGTGATGAAATTTTCTAAAAACTATATTTAGTTTAATTAATAGTTATTTTAATTTAAAATTATTAGCAAGTGATTAACTTTGTTTGCCATTTCTTTTGATTTCAAGTGGTTATAATTTGGAGCAATTTTTTATGGATGATTGAGGACTGAAGTTCTATAATTTAGGTTTTATGTTACGTGTTTTGAACTTTCTATTGTACATTTTTTTATGTGTCCATTTTTTATGGATTGTTTCTATTGACAAATGAAAATTTTTGTGGTTGCATCACTTTTATTTTGGTTAACTAAAAATGAAACAAAAAAGGAAGAAAAAATGAAACAGAAAAGAAAAAGAAATTGGCTGGTTCCCAAGTAGACCTTGGAATCGATTAACAGGATAGGTTTAAGGTTCTAGGGTATATAATGTAGGTTTCAAATTAAAAAAACTGAGGGACCGATTCCGACAGATTAGGGTCCAAGTTCTAGATTCTACCTAAACTGATTATGAAACCGCTTATTCCTATAAACCAGACTTTTGTATTTGAAGTGGCTAAAATATCTTCATGCTCAATACTCAAATAAGTAATAATTTAATATTAATGACAATTGTGACATTCCGAATTTCGGCCCATTTTTTGGATTTATAAAACGCGTAATTTGTCAGTGTGCTTATAGTAAAATCTCGCCCGGGAACTAATCACTCTCGGTTATCATTTTAAATTAGAGATTTCGCTAGAATCGCACTCGATCAAATTTGACCGTTATTTAGACCTCGAACTTGGCAGCCGATTTTCGGGAGTTTCAGGACGAAATAAATTGGACGGTGTCAATATTATCGTAGCCAGCGTTGAGATTGTCAGGAATAATGGAAAAATAGGAGTTTTTGACCGGGTGCGAATTTGGACTAGTAGACCTCCCTCGCTATAGTTTGATTTAATTAATTCAGCCTTTGTCCATTTTTATATGCGACGCTTATTTTGGACCGGTAGATCGCTTTCGGTTTTGAAATTGGGTCATCGGATCGCATTTAATATTTGAATCGCGACCGTTAAATCGATTTTTAGTTTAAACCGTGTCCGTTGGTTCGCGCTCGAGGATAAATATTAACTTTTTCTCTCTCTTTCTCTCTCCTCTCTCCTCTGCCGCGCCGCCCGTCCCCTCCCTCCTCCCGCGCACGTTTCTCTCTCTCTCTCTCTCTCTCTCTCTCTCTCTCTCTCTCTCTCCTACCCTGACACACTCTCTCTCTTCCTTCCTCCTTTTCTTCTCTTTCTTCTTCTTCCTTTCTCTTCTTCTTCTTCCTCGCCGCTTCTGTTCCAGCCTCTGCGTCCGCTTCTGTTCCTTTTCCCTGTTGCCCGACGCCGATCGCCTGAGCTCGCTTGGCCGTCGCGCGCTGCCGTCGCTAGCTCGACCGCCGCGTCACGCCGCCTGACCAGCCGCTTGCAGTTCCCTCGGCCGCCCCGTCACCTGGTTAATCTCCCCTCCCCCGACTCCCGTCCACCGCAGCTCCTCCCCGCCTCCGCAGCCGCCACTCGGTCGCCCTCCGCCCGACCCCGCTCCACCAGCCGCCGACGCCGCCGTCTCCCTCGCGCCTTCGCCATGCCGCCGCGTCGCTCGGCAGCTTCGTCCCGATGCTACCTTCCTCCTCTCCCGAACGCGCGAGCTCAGCTCGCCGCCGCTTGCCGCCGCGCCCGACGAGTCCTGGGCTGTCCGGGCCAGCTCCCTGGGCCGCTGTGTCCCGACGCCCGGGAGCGCCGGCTGCCGTCCCGCCGAGCACTCCCTCTAGCCGCACCAACCGCCTCAGCCGACTTCCTCTTCTCTCCTTTGTCTTCCCGCCGCTCGCCGTCGCCGTCGCTCCAGCTCGACCAGCCCGACGCCACCCGACCCCGCCAGCAGCCGCGCCGTGCCACTCCGTCGCCGCCGGTTCGCCCCTCTCCTTCAGCCCCGATCTCTCTCTCTCTCTCTCTCCCTCACCTTCACCCCCGGTGATCTCTTTCTCGGTTCGCGCCGCCGCCGCGCCATGCCGTCGCCCCTTGCGTCAGCTGCAGCCCATTAGTCACCGCCTCGGTGGCCCAGCCAGCCCCGGCCAGCCAGCCAGCCCAGCCGTGCCCGGGCTTGCCCAAGCCGTGGCCGGCTCGTCGCCCACGCGACCAAGCCGCGCGCCCGTCGCCGTGCTCGCGCCCGTGCCCGTTACTCGCGCCCGTGCCCGTTCCCGCGCCCGTGCCCGCGCTCGCGCCCATGCGTGTGCCCGTGGCCGAGCCCGTGGCCGGGCCTTGTGCCCGTGGCCGAGGGCTGTGCCCATGGCCGAGCACCGTGGCCGAGCCCCGCGCTCGTCGCGCCCTTGCCCGCGCCGAGTGAGACACTGTTCACTCGGGCCATTTTAGGCCCGAGCCGATTTTTACCGAGCCAAACTTAGGTAAGTGACTTCCTAAACCCTACCTAGTATTTTGGGTATTTTTAGACTTGTTTAGGGTGAAATTTCGTACCGGCTTAGGACTTTAATTAGGTGTGGGCTAATTAGACTGATTGTGCTTAATTGGTGAATTATTGTGGCGATAATTGTGCGGCTGATTTAGTGATTTACTGAGATAAATATGCCTGACTGAATTGTCGTGGCGCTTGTGGGTGAATTGAATTAATTGAATGTGCCGACATGAATGTCGGGTCGGTGGACCGATGTGGGGAGCATGAATTGAGTTGACTGATGTGGCGTGCTAGATTGACATTGGTGAAAGGGTGGTGATTGAAATTGATTTATATGACTAAGAGCATGGTGAATTTTGTATTGTGGTGCATGTGCATGAGAAAAGCCCGGATCGATCGGAGGGCCGAGCTGGCGAGGCGTGTTTACGCTGGCCGTGAAAGGTGAGCTAGACCTCGAGGCGTAGGTTACGCGGGTCATTGGAAAGGGAAAAATGTCCCGAGGCGTGGTTACGCGGGACGAAGCCCGGCTTGATCTGAGGGCTGACCTGAGGCGCAGTAGAGCGGGTCGTGGGAAAGTGTGAAATGTCCAGTGAGGGATGGAGCCCGGCTTGATCTGAGGGCTGACCTGAGGCGCAGTAGCGCGGGTCGTGGGAAAGTGTGAAATGTCCAGTGAGGGACGGAGCCCGGCTTGATCTGAGGGCTGACCTGAGGCGCAGTAGCGCGGGTCGTGAGAATGGGCCTGAGGCGCAGTGGCGCGGGCAGTGTGAAAGGACCTGGGAGGTCGTGAGAAAGTTGGCTGGACCACGCATGTTGCATAGTGTTTGATTATGAGGTGAATACTGCTAGGCATGGTATGGGACGTGCCCAAGTGGTTTTACCTTATAATCGAGACACGCGCGAGTGTTATTGTATGATGCATGGAAAATTTCCTTGTGTGATCTGAATATGAGCTCTGCTGGATACACTAATGTGATTTGACTAACGTACAGTGTGGGCATGTGATTGGATGGCGAGGTAAGTCCATTGATGTGAATTATATATAAGTTATCGGTTAGATTGCATGTTACAACTTGTCTGGGTACGCATTGGCCTATGTGGGGTATAGGGGGTTGCTTATTAAGACTCGTTCTCACGGTTATTATATAACCATTTTCAGATCTGCGACCGTGATTGATTGGAGACGCCACCAGGGTATCTCGGGGATGGAGGACGGGTCAAGTTACCCCATATTTTGTGTGCCCCTCTTTTGTATAGCGAAGTAGGATACCCCACCACTATTCCCTTTTGATGTTGTGTATTTGGAATTATTATTTTGTGCTATCCCTTTATCATATTTTATTGTCTGGGTTGTTTTAAATTCGCTTCGGCTTGCCTTTATCTCTGATGTTTGAGTTGGGTCGGCGACGTGTCTGGGACGTCGCATTCAATGATCGACCATCGCGGGATGATCGCGCGCTCGTAGGGTGCGGGGCGTGACAACAATAACCACGTTTCTCTCTCCTCGCCCCTCTCTGTTGTAGTTGTCACTTTCCTTTAAGGTTTCATTTTCCTTTTCTACTATTCTCTTCGTCCTGTCTTTTTCCTTTTCTTATCAAATAACAACAGAATTTTTTTTTGTCTTCATCCAAATATTCGGTCAAAATATCGTCCTGTCTTTTTCCTTTTTCCTTTGTCTTTTTCCTTTTTCCTCTCTGTTTTGATGTTGGTGTGAAAGTTTGTTTCATTTAAATAATATTTAGGAACAAAATGGGGAACCAGATTTGAAAGCGCAAATTTGTGTATAATCCAATATGTATAGAGATCATAATTTTATAAAAGTATAATGCATTTATATTAATATTCGTTTTTATAAAGGTCATAGCCGCACAGCCCCATTTTTCTTTGCAACCGGATAAACAAGTCGTCAGGTTTCCGTGGAATAATTTTGTGGTTAAAATCGGTACGTCATATTTTCGAATTAACGGCAGCGTCCTCTTCTCGTTTTCCTTCAATTTTTCCCTCGACATGACTTGCCTTTTATATAAAAGAAACGTAAGAAGAAAAAATTGATTTTTGAAACCTGCTGAGTAAGTCATCCGGTGCTCTACAAAGTGCATTGTGGCTGTAGTAGTGGCTACATTACTGACAACGAGAGTAACGGACCGTCATCCGCTCATTCTCCTTAGTGAAATGGTTGGGGTTTGTAAACTTAAGCCGATCTATTATGTTCTAATTTTAGATAATTTGTTCACTAAAAGAGTTATATGGCTGGTTGCGAGCACCCAAAGGGTATTAACTATTGGGATTTTATGTGAAAACCCATAACGGTTTGGGTAAGGGCAACAAATTGGTGCACAGATTCGGAACGAGGTCAGTCTGCACACAGATATTTCCAATAAATAGATTTAGGTACTTACCATAGCGTTCTTGCAAGATGGCACCGTGAATGGGCGGCAAGCCTTGTATCCTTGATGGTTCGAGCGCAAGCGAAAATAAAACCTCTTGTATCTCAGGGTCTTTGGAATCGACGGCCAAGTACAGGGGAGATGTCTGATACTCATTCATCCAGTACACGGGCTCCAAATCTTCGTTCAACAGATCGCGGACCCCCTTGACGTGACCATTAAGCACGGCCTCGTGCAAGGCGGTGTTTCCATGTTTGTTCTTCATCCTCAGGATCTGGTTCTTGCCCTCAATATTGGGGAGGTCTCTTGCCCGGCGAATCAACATCTCAGCAGCCGTAGATCTCTTAGCCCCAATCGCCATGTGGAGGGAGGTATCTCCCCAATCATTTTGTGCGGCAATGAGGTGGTCAGGGACATAATCAAGCAGGAGCCTCAGGATGTCGTCCTTGCCGTTGAATGCTGCAAAGTGGAGCAGTGAATTGCCCTCCGCGTTCAGGCAATTGAAAATGGCAGACGGATTGATTTTCATTGCAAGGCTCTCAATCGCAGAAATGAACTCTTCGACATCGGCTTTGATGATGATAAATCCAAGTCTTTGAGCAGCTGCATTCACTTCTGCTGGATCTTGTTTCTCCGCGTTTCGCGCGGCCGCCGATGCATTGTTGATTCTCTCCCGTCGACTCCTCCAGATATCTTCTTTATTCAAAGAATCGATTTCATCCTCTAACATTTCCTCCTTGAAAGCTCCTCCTTCATCCTTCTTGACCTCCTCCTCGATCGAGTTGTTCGTGCCAACGTCCTCCTCTACTATAGATATCTCTACCTCCATCAAGCCTAGGCGGTGCAAGTAATATAGTTAGTGCAAGGGATTAGGGGGTTGTGTAAGTAGACGTTATATCATAGAAATATTAAATAATAGATTCATCTAATTATTTAAAACTTGGGTTAATAATACGAAAAATTCTAAACTAGTACATCTGTGATAATTTTATCCCAAACTAATTTTTTGACCATCAAAAACCCCAAACCGGTATACCTGTGACAAATTTACCCAAAATTAAGTTTTTTACCACCAAAAATTCCGTGACAAATTTACCCTTAATTAGTTTCCATTAAATTGAATTAATACCACAAAAAATCATAAACTGGTACGCCTGTGACAAACGGAGGGCAAAACATAAAATTGGTATATCCGTCAATTGCCACATGTCATTTAACAAAGCAATTTGACTGTAAAATTTAACGGAAATAAATCGAGGGTAAATTTGTCATAGGTGTATCAGTTTGGGGTTTTTTATGGTCAAAAAATTAGTTTAGGGTAAAATTGTCACAAGCGTACCAGTTTGGGGTTTTTCGCGATATTAACCCTTAAAACTTTTACAATAGTTAATAACGGTCCTACAAAACTGCGTATGCCATCAAAGCAAATAGTTCAAAGTAAAAATTATTGCATAAGATCGCGGAAGCGTGAATAAATACAAACGGTTTGCTACGTGAATACAAATACAAGAAATTAATAAGATGCCAGGGTTCGGCCGAGTCTACCTAATCTCAAATTTTAGGCCAAATTTAAACTCACGTATGAAAATGAGTATTATTAGAGCATACACATATTAAAACATCTTAATTTTTAAAATAGTTTACATTGATAGGAAAAATTTTGCTGATTGATTGGAGTTAAATTCTATATATGAACAACTATAATATATTTCTATGCATACTGTGATCCAAAAGGTCGGTCATATCATCTTTTGATGATCCAATTAACTCCGCGTTCACATGATTGGAATTTAAAAAAAAAAAAAGTCATCATAATTATGATCATGACATTTCGATACCCAAACAGTCATAATTACATCATTTAGTAGACAACATCTTGCTCAGTAAGGAGGCCATCTAGACTCAAATCGTTAAAAGACAATTGAGTAACAACCGTTATCCGAAAGAAAAGTTGGGGGTAAAAAGAAATTACGAGTTGGCCGATTTGCCAGTAACTTATTAGTAATTTAGTAGCATTTTTGTGAAATTACTAATTTTTTTTTAAAATTTGCAAATCATCTCTTTTATAGATTTTTAAAATTTTTGCTGCGAACATGTAAGGTTTTCTCGTTTGGGTGGACTGCCAATTCAAATTATGCTCACAACAAAATTCAGATGACCAGATTTTTTAGGGCAATCTAGAAGCTGTGGTAAGGCAGAAATTGACAGTAATTAAATACATATCAAAATTAGCCAATCCAAAGAATTAGGAGTTCACAAAAAGAATGTTTATCAAGCTAATTGTAATTGCAAAAAGAGTAAGTGATTGCGAGCAGGCTATTTGAGTACTTGAATGTGCATACATAGTTCAGAAGGTAACAAACTTATAATGTTTCGAAGATCCTCGAAGGAGATCAATTCCAGAAAACAAAGAAAACAATTGCCGAAACCCCAGATCTAACTTAATATGGCAACACCCAAAGAACATCAAAGAACAGAAGCAACGAGTCGAGAGATAAAACAGAAGCTGAAGAAAAAACGAAGGGCAGGACTAGAGAAGAAAAATATGTTGTCGGGATGCTGATGCTGATGCTCTGAAGTGGAAGGTCCCAGAGACAAGGGACTTGAAGCGAGGATACATATTTCGCCAGCAATTATTGAAGTGAAGTCACCAAAGATGGGTCTGCTCCTCATCATCAAACTGTACGATGAAGCTACTTTAGGTGCATAATGGCTGGTGAAACTCAATTATATTTTGGCCTTTTGTACAGCTGGTGAAGAAAGACCGGCAGCAGAGAGAGAGAGAAAGAGAGAGAGAACATCAACGCTAATTTCGGATCAAAGGGGTGAGTAAACAAAAATTCGATGATATAATTACACTTTACTCGCACATAATATACGTAGCCAATAGAAAGACATTATTAAATATGGTCGACGTTGCGTGACACAGGTTCCATTTAAAAATGTCTTTTGGGAGTTTATGCCTCCGATTCATGCGATAAGTGTTGATTTCTCTTTTAAGGGATGAAATCGAACGCTGACGACTTCATGTCAGCGAGGAGGATGATATTAATCTGGAAATGGAAAGTGGAGATTAAAGAACAGGAGAGAGAGAGAGACCTGAGAGACTGTTGATACATATTTTTAATTTGCCCAAAATTAATTGCACAAAATTTAGGGATTAATTTTCTTTAATTCCTAAAACAAAAAATATTTCTATTTATATGCATTGCATATAGAAATTAAGCATACTTGCATTAATAGGGTCTATTAGAGTTTATTAAAAAAAAAAATCGAGTCGGGCCGGGTCGGCCTGGGCCGACCCGGCCCTTTTCTTTTCTTTTTCTTTTTCTCCTCCTCCCCGCGTGGGCCCCCGGCCTGCTTTTCTTTTTTCCTTTCCCCCCAACGCGCGATTGGGCCTGGCCCGGCCCAGCCTCTTCCTTCCTTCTTTCCCCCTGCGCCGGTCGCTCTCTCCTCCCCTGTTCTCCCCTGTGCGCGACCGAAGCGTGACGCACGACGGCGCCGCTCCTCATCGTCGTCATTCGGTCAGAGGAGGCCCAGGGCAGCACGCCACCGGGACTGGCATTGATGGCCAGTCCCGTCTTCCCCGATTTCCCGGGCTCTCTTTCTCTCTTCCCTGTCTCTCTGCACACTCCACAGAATCGGCCCCCCCTCTGCACCGGCCTAATGGCCGCGAAAGTCATGGTAGGAGCAAAGGCCGGTGCAGAGCATTGAATGGAGCAGAGAATGGCGTCGTCGTCGTCGGATATACAGACCAGAGAGGAGAGAGAGAGGGGTGGGTTTTTCTCGGTCGGCCATTTTTGGAGAAAAACGGAGAGAGAGTCCGAGAGAGGCCGGAGAGAATCAGAGAAAAACCGAGAAGAGAGAGGAACCTCGGAGGGTCTTGCAGGTCCCAGCCGGCCTCGTCGTCACCAGCAAGCCGACCAGCAACCCCCGGAAGCAGCCCCGGTCGGCCATTTTGAGAGAAAACAGAGCAGGGAGAGACACAGAGAGAAAAGAGAGAGAGAGAGAGAGAGAGAGCGCAAACAGAGGTCACGCCGGAGCCAAAAGAGAACCAGCAGTGGTCGTCGACGTCCCCAGACCAGCCGTAAGCCTCTCAGAAGCGTCGCCAACCGGTGAGCCCCCGGCCGAGAACCGCCTCTGTTTTCCCCTGTTTTCCGGCGTGGTTGGGTCGGGACTCGCGCCGGCCGTTTCGCGCGAATCCCGGCCCATACTGACGTCGGTTCCGGTCCCTGCTCACCGTCTGAAGCGAACCCAAGCCGCTGGAGTCGACCGGATCGCCGGAGGAGGTTGGAATCCCCTGTTTTTCCACGCGCCCGCCAGGCGTTCGACGAAATGCCTCAACCAGGTTGGTTTTTGTTCCATCGCCGGCCGGCGAACGGTGGTCCGACGGCGGTTCAGGTGAGTGGCACGGCCCAGAGGCAGTCCTAGTCGGGCGATTTGGGGGTGGCGCTGGCCTGGGTCGGCCGGCGGTTGGCCAATCTGGCTTCGCCGGCGCCCCTCTCCCCGCTGGTTTGTGAGTTCGGGTCAGATTCGACCCAAATCAGTAGATCCGACCCGGGTCAACGCCCGGTTCGGATCCGTTGACTCGGGTCGGTTCCGACCGACCCGGATCAGCAGATTCGGCCCGGGTCGGATCCGTTGACCCGGGTCAGATCCGACTCGACCCGGTTAATATTATATTATTATTTTATTTTATTTAAAAAAATTTTAAAAAAATTTAAAATTTTAAAAAAAAATTAAATTTTTTTTCTTATTTTGTATTATTATTAATTTTTTTTTCGAAAAAAAAATTATTAAAAAAAATCTTTTTTTTAAATTATGTTATATCTAAGTGTTTAATTTATCGTAGTATTATTATGCATATTTTTGTCTTGTTTAAATTAGACAAGCCTGAGAATTGCGCGGTAATATTTTGCATGTTAGTTTTTATTATCGTTGTATTATTATGCATGATTTTAATACAATCGCATGAGTTGTTGTGTTTTGAATGTTATCTGACTTAGTTAAGGTTAGAACCTTAGGATGCATATCTATCATGACTGCTAATCGTTTCTGATTATGCACTCGCTTGATCACCTCACATGTTAGGAGAAACGTCCTAAAATCAATCCAAATTGCCTGACAAATATTTTCAAAAATGAACAGGGTAGAAAGGTACCGAAAGGGCATTAGTTATCTAACTAGTGTAACCAAGTCCCCGAACTCGGTTAATCTCTGGTTCGCAGGAATAGGGTGATTCTCCCATCACCCTATTTGGGTTTCTAATCGGCCCACCCCAAATCGATTAGTGGCGACTCCTTGATATAAATCACTTGTATGTTAAAAACTTAAATCCTAAGTCGGGATACGGTATGGGCTTGGGAGAGCTCGAGTTAAGTCCCAAACCTAGACTTAGCACGTACCAAGCGAGCCCCCTTTTTTGCATGTTCGATAAAAAAGGGCTCGGGAGTTCGGTCGCGACAGACTGACGACTCCGCTTGGGACTTTTTTTTTTTTTTAAAGTGGACTTAGGCCAAAAAATTTTATCCTGTTCAAAAATAATTTTTGTTTGGCAGCGAGGATTCCAGGTATGACACTGACATTAAGGTGTTATTTGTTCTTGCAAGTTCAAATTGATTGTTTATAAATTGTTGTGCATGCTTTAATGATTAACACTACACTGTTGCACGCACAACCACGCTGCCGGACTTGGGCCGCGATAGGGCATTTTAGGATGGTGTTAAGAAAAATACGACCTCGAACGCGAGCCCGCAATGTAGAGGTTGCCTTTCTTTTCCCCGAAATTTATTTCTAAAAATCGTAAAGAAGTATCTTTAGCCGCTATTCG